TGATCCATAGGCTCCCTAGGGGGGGGGGGGCTGGGGGAGGAGTATGAGAGGAAAGAGATCGATTATGGTGATATAAAGCACTTCCTGAGGTACCCCTTCGATCAGATCTTTGGGGGGGGGGAGAGTTAAAGGATCCGGATCTCTCCACTGCATGGTTGTTGACAAAATCCAGTCTATGGTGATGCCTTGGGTGGGAGGTTTCCCTGTGGCTGCAAGACGTTCGAGAGACATCAGATCGGTGGGTATAAGACAGAGATCGATGGTTATGCTCCTGGATTTTTGAGCCTCTATAGACAGGGGAGGAATGATCAGCCTGGTTGTCAACGCGCCGGTAATCGCTAACTGGCTTGGATTGATAACGGTGAGGTGGTGATCTGCGCAGAGCGTTCTTTGAGCCTCTATAATCAGAGGATTGGTGATTAGTTCGTCTATCACCTCTGTTATCATCGTGAGGGAGAGTAAATCGTGGAGCAGGGGGTTATATCCCCGCTTGTCATCATGACGTCCTTTACTTGCTTCTATACGTTCAAGCGCCATCAATTGGGTAATCCCAAGCTTCCGTTCTCTTGCAGGGAGACTGTTAGCTGCTCTGTTAGGGCATTCCTCTTCTTCATGTGATAGCGAGAAGCAAGTGAAACAATGCTTTTCAATTTTAACATATTCAAATTCTATCTCTGTAACTTCCCCTGATGGAAGTTGGACTTCAGACTTCATCTCAAGGGTTTGAAGACCATTAATCTCAACTCTAATTCTAGCATCTCGAATATCCCGAGTAGAGGTAGTACCAAGAGCTTTGCCGATGGTCTCCAAAGCTTGGTCTGAGCAGTAGTGCAGAGGGAGACCATGAATTCGAACCCAAAAGAAGATGGCTGATGGGAACGATGGAGAAGTGATGGGTTCCCATCTTTGTAGGATAAGCATCCACCGTTTGTAGTGATATGGACCTTTTGCCAAGACTGAGAGTAGGTCATTTTCAGGTTCAAAGCGGAATTGGAATAGTTCCAATCTGAGGTCTCTACCATCGACCCTTCCTTCCAAGTTCCAAACTTGAGGCATGATATCAACTATCGCCCTAGCGCGTTGAAAGCGTGGGTTAGTCACTCTACCAATGAGAGTAAGGAGGTTATCTGCAATAAGAGCATCTTTGTCGCTGTCTGGAATTCTGATGGGGGACTTTTTGCGAGGGGGGCTGGATTTTTCAACCCATTTTTCTTTGTCAGCTCTTGAGAGTCTTCGATGCATATTGACTGTAGTTCTTGAAATAAGTAGTTCTCTATAATCAGAGTAATCTTCGGAGTGTGAGCAGCCGTAATCTATGAGGACCACCCCGTGAGGAGCTCTATAACAGAGTAGATGTGGGCGGCGTGGTGTTTTAGACAGTGGTATCAATGTATAGAGTATGGGTTAGTCGGGTTAAGTCCGGTTTAGTTAGATTAGATATTAGATTACATGGTTTACCACATTGGTTAAGTGTATATATATCCATGTAACAAACTCTTTTGTCAGTTAAGAAAATAAGAGATCATTTGATATTTCGAATCTTCTCTTTACTCATGATCTCTAATATGGTATCAGAGCCCAAGATTTGGCCAAGCATATGATTTCCCAGATAAACAGTTTCTAATCTGTAAAGTGGCCCATTGCTGTGGTATTTCCGAGATGTTGGGCTTGGGTTGTTTCCCTATGGACCGTTTCCCACCCACATCTCGAGAGGGGCTATTAAGAGTTCCACATCGTTTAATGATGTGATCTTTGGTTCATATCTATCTATCTGAGCCTTATAGTTCCTTTATTAATGCTATCACTCCTATCAAAATCCCTCATAGACTTTCAGAGGCTCTTGAGGATAAGGTATGGTGTGATTCTATGAAAATGGAGATTGAAGCTTTTGATCGTACTGAAACGTGGAGTGTTACTGAGTTGCCTCCGGGTAAGAAAGCAATAGGGTGTAAGTGGCTCCATCGATATCGACGGTTCTCGTCGGTCGATTATCATGGAGTTCTCATTCTCATCCGGACTGAATCAGATCTCCAGAAGTCAAGCTAATGACTAAAATAAGCGCTGAGTGGGAGGCAACCCACTCTTGAGTGTTTTAATTATATCAGGTAAAAGGAAAAGATAAAGAGGAAGATGAGTTCAGCGCCAGCTATCGAAAGACAACCGGCCGGTGTCACTCAACAGATCATCACAAGTATTGATCGCCACTTAACTGTGTTGATCGATACTCACATCAAAGCAGGTATACAATCTTTCTTTGTTAAATATTTTCCTTATGGTTTATTGTCCCACCAATCTTAGGCTACATAACATTGGTCACAGTGTTATTTAAGTCTGGGGGAGGTTCTACTAATACTGTGTCTTTAGTTAGATATTTAGAAAAGCAGACCCGAGTAAACGATTGCCATGATAATCGACCGACGAGAACCGTCGATATCGATCGACAGTACATCACTTGCAGTAACCGATGGTAACCCATTTTATCGATCGACACTTAATCCGGTCAGGTATATCGTTCTTACTTGTTAAATTTTGTACTTCTGCTATATGATTTTCATCTTACCACCGACTGTATTACACTGGGGACAGTGTAATTTAAGTCTGGGGGGATTACTAACGTTTATCTATTGTATGAGTCTTATTTAAAATATTTTCAAAAAGTTTTTATTGAGTCAAGAAGGGGATGATGATCTATTTTGATTTATTACTTGTCATCTAACCACTCTTTAGACCAGTCTTAGATTTACTGATTGCAGAAGTACTAGAGATACTAAAGTGGATCAACCTGTCAACTATGTTTGCACTTGCTGAGAATGTTTGAAGGAATCAAAGCTGACCTCCAACCTAATATTGACTTGATTTTCTTGTCTTGGGGCTTGGTATACAAAGGATCGGAATCCTCCTGCAAGTCTGGAAGGTATAAGTCTGTAAATTTTTGGTTTCCTTCTTTCCTCTCTTCGGCATCTCAAAGATCTAAGTTTATGCAAGAAAAGATTGAAATGATTTCATGCGGTTTAGAGGGGTAGGAGTGTCTCTTGTGACCTCATTATTCTACTCTAATGGAATGATCACACACTGATAGAAGCGAGGGGTAGGTACATTACCGATGACCCCACTATTTGCCTACATCTTTGTCAAAAAAAAAAAGAAAAAAAAGTGAGATTCAGAGAAGAGAGATATAGGGAGAAAAAAAACCAGAATAAAACTGCGTATTTACTGGAAAAGAACAATTTCGAGGAGGAAAACTCGTATAGTTCTAACGAATCGCCTTCGCATCAATTGACAACAACATGTGCACACCGATCGATTGGATTCAACACATTGAGTATAGATTAACTCGTGTATATCGCTTGACTAGACGCATCGATCGATATTCCCATTGGAAATCGATCGACGTTGGGTAAAGTGTATCGATCAATATTCATTTTGAATAATCGATCGACATTGTTAGGGTCAGTAACAATCTAGTCAATAGACTTATTTATTAAGTGAAAGTTTGGTAAATCTGTCATTAATATAGTTAAGCTCTTTAATACCATGCAAACAACTAATTAGCACCTACAGGATTATAATTTCCAATACCTGAATAAAAGCCCTAAGTCTAATGCCTTTTCAAATTTAGTTCAAACCCTAATTCCATTCTGTCGAGTAATTGTCTTGCTCAACTAGAATATTTACTGTTTCTTGTTTACTTGTTTACTGCAATTTTACATTTAATACCAACCTAGCATTATTACTTGATTAGATTTAAGTGGTTCCCTAGCTCCTTGTGGATTTGATCCCTAAGTACTATAATAGATCTCTTATTTGAGAGAGTAAGTTGCTCCTTAGGTTAATTTGAGCACGTATCACTTCTCTCTGTGGTCTTGGAATTATCTTCTCTTGCCTTAGTACTACGGTACTGCCTTCTCTCTGTGTTCTTGGAGTTATCTTCTCTGACCTTAGTACTACGGTCCTTCCTTCTCTCAGGCCTGTCTCTTCGGCGTTTATGGCTGAGGCCCTCGCCGTTTGCTTAGCAGTGATGACCGCTGCATCGTCTAACCTAAAATCTCTGGTGGTTCTGTCTGACTCTCTCACCTTGGTTAACATCTTGAAGAGTGGAGCCTCTCGTCCAACACTGTTTGGGATATTGTTTGACATCTATCACTTTTTTTCTACTTTTGATCATGTTTCCTTTAAGTTTGTTTCTCGTTCTGCTAATTTTGAAACCGATGGTTTGACTAAATCGGCCCTTAACCTCTTAAACTCCTCCTCCAGGTGTGGAGATTTTTTGACTTTTGTTTGAATGAGTGGAATAGAATGCTTGATAAAAAATCTTTACTATATTAAAAGCTCTTAATACTCAAAGAATAGAGTGTCCACGTCATTTAATTAAATCCACCAATCAGAATGTTCTGATCTGCCATGTCACTTCACTTCACGCATAAAACATTCGTACAATTAGAAATGTTTTGGTCCACTTTGTAAACCAGCCTAAACCAGCCCATTTGTTGGCCAATCAATTTCTCTGCAGTAAAAGCTTTCAAACACACTTCTCCATTTTCACCTTCATCGTTCTCTTCTAAGAAGCTATAACGTTTTTCTTTCTTCTGTTTTTCTGATTGGTAACAGTAGTTCCACCATTATTTCTCATTAAACCCCTAATTAATCCTTTAATGGTAGGCTATTCCACCATTCCAAAACCCTCTGTTCTCCACCTTATATAAACCTAACAAAACTCTTCTCGCAAAATTCACGAAATCCATCAAAGCACATCAGACAATGGCGACCAAATGGACGAATCCGACCGTTAAGGCTCCAGTCGCTCAATTTCTTAAAGGCGTCCCTCTGGCTTAGTTAATCGGG